AATTTTAAAAGTGCCCTGCATTTCCTGACCAGGTCTCTTATGTGTCCACATCTCTTCACTACAATTTCTGACTAAATTGCTGCTTGAAATACGATTGTTTTACTTGCCATCTGCTAATTGATTAGAAGTCACCGCTACAATCAAAGTCACGCCATTCACAACTTCCACACTATTTTCTTCCTTCTCAGGGTCATTAAGAGCAATAAAGAAAGTCTCTTTTAAATGATTCAATAATTCGAAATTGTTGTCTGAATGCTTTCCTTTATTTTTCTCCTCCATATAATATAATGGCAAGGGGAGTTCTTACGGAAGTTTGCTATCGTATATTCCATATTTGATTACTATGTATTATAAATTTTTAACTTTGTCTTGATCAGAATAAAAAAAAACACGGTTTATTTTTCCTTAAAAGAAAAATAAAAGAAGATTCATCCACTCCTTCCCTGACATCATTGGGGACATGTACACCTTCCAGGTATCAACTTATCAGAGTTCATCCGACAACCCTCGGAGGAAATTGCAAAAGGCTGGAGATGTTTGAAGATGTTGATGTTGTCCTATTTTGTGTTTCATTGATTGATTATGATGAGTTTTCTGAAGACAACAACGGAGTTCCCATCAACAAGATGATTGCAAGCAGGCAGCTATTTGAACGCATTGTCACTCATCCAACCTTTGAAGAGAAGAAGTTCCTTCTTATACTGAATAAGTTTGACCTGCTCGAGGAAAAGATTGAACGGGTTCCGCTGACTCAATGCGAATGGTTTGACGACTTCAATCCTGTGATTGGCTACAATCCCAACAGCAGCAGAAGCACCAATCCTTCATTGGCACTTCGTGCCTGCCAATATATTGCAGTAAAGTTCAAGAGATTGTTCAGAGATCTAACTGACAGGAAGCTGTATGTTTCACTAGCTACTGGTTTGGAACCTGATAATGTTGATGAAGCTCTTAAATATGCAAGAGAGGTTCTGAAATGGAAGCAAGAGGAGCATAACTACCCCAACAATGAGTTATCTTCGACTAGCATAGAGGCAAGTTCATCCTCGTGATTTTAACATTGTTGTAATCACATACAGGGTCGACTGAAGGGAATAGAGGACCGCCTGCTATTCACATGGCTTCCCCGCAAAATCTGTGTATATAATGTCTATGTGCCAGTCATGTATAGGAAAGGGAAGTAGAGCTTAAATCAAAAATATTTCAAACATGAAAGAAATAGCATTTTTCTGAAAAGCTGAAACATTCACAAATTTTGCAGCCGCTGCTCTTGGATCAACAAAATACACAAGCGTTATTACAACTAAAGATATAGAAAAAAAAAAAAAAACTAATCAATTAGTAAAAGAGAAGCCCTACGAAGTACAAGCACAAGCCTATTTGCATTACAGACACAACTCTATACGAACCATAGACATCTCTTCACATCACTGTTTCATCATACAGGTGCAAACCTGTCCATAAGCAAGCAAACTGTGGCCTCAGACATTGTAGTTTCTCCCTGAACCACCTTGCTCTTTTTAACCTCCCTCTCTTCTTCAACTCCTCCCTCTTTGGGTTTTGACAAGAAGGGCTTTCTTGGTGTAACCTTCTCCTTAAGCTTTGCTAGCTCACTCACCCATATCTCCACAACTGCAGACATTTCCTCCTCAAAAGACTTGAACCCTGATTTCTTGAATGTTACTTTTTGCTGAATGAGAAGAGAAGAGAGCTGGAGCTGAATGGTTTATATAGAGGGGAAGAGGAGGGGTGAGTTTTCAAAAACTCGTGTACAGTTCAGAGCAAGTGGTTTTTGTTGACCAAAAGAAAAATCTACTTGTGGTCGCTCCTAGATGATGTTAAAAATGGGAAGAGGGGATTTAGTTTCCCTATATTTGAATATTCCACTGTAATGGTTGTGAATATCTTACGAGTGGGATCCTAGGGTATGGATGCTCATACCCTAAATGCTTGTTTTTTCGTGATTCCCAACCATATCCTGAGAATCACACGCTATATATAAAAACGAAATTTTTTTAGAGATAGACATGGCAGGAGGAGGATCCAACTAGACTGGTGTTTTGGTACGAGCAATAAGATGCAAGGGTTTCCCAATTGAAGGGGTCGCTATTATTTTTGTCGGTTAAGAAGGTGCCACGTGTAACACGCTTAGAACTTAGAACACAGAGAAGGAGATCGTTATCATCTCACACACCTCGAGAGCCCATAGAATTATTGAGACAAAATAATGGAAGTTTCCATTATTGAAGGAAATGCCCGAATACAAACAAAAGGGTCCACAGATAGGCTCCTCTTCCCGTGGGCGACCCGTCCATTTGCAATTGGATGCATGGGGAAGAAAATTAAATTTAATAAGCTGAAGCCGTCACCATCAAGAGACAGTTTGGCCGAGTGGTCTAAGGCGCCAGATTTAGGCTCTGGTCCGAAAGGGCGTGGGTTCAAATCCCACAGCTGTCAATTTTCAATCAACCCATTCACACGCTCAGAAGCCTTCTACTTCTCTTCTTGTCTTTCTCGATGCGTCAGAAAGATATTTTTATTAGAGCCTTCTACAGCGTAAACCTAATTTCATGAAATCAAGCTCCTCCCCTTATTTTAAATTCAGTTTCCCATTTTCATTTTTATTTTTATTTTATTATTTTTTAATTTTATTCTAGTATTTTTCTTAACAATTATTTAGGTTATTTTATTTTATTCTTGTATTTTTCTTAACAATTATTTAGGTTATTTTTAAATTAATAAAATTGATTAGATTATGTCATGATAATTTTTATACAATTTAATTTTAAATTTAGGTTAAATAAAAAATTAGATTGAGAGTTTTTTCTTTTAATTTTATCATTTTTTTAAAATTTGATCCTGAAATATTTTTTTTTATAGATTGTTCGTGTTGTCTTTAAACAAAACAAGTTGATTGAGTTATATTGAAACAAATTTTTATATAATCTTATTTTAAACTCGGCTAGATTATAATTTAAATTTGAATATTTTTTTCTTGTCAATTTCATCATTTCTTTCTCAGTTTTATTTTTAAGATTTGTTTTTTATCGGCTATCTAAATTACCTTTGAATTAACTAAAATTATTAAATCATGTTAAGATAACTCTAATACAATTAAATTTTAAACTTAAACTAAATAAAAAATTAACTTGAAAGGTTTCTAAATAGACTGGTAGGGCTAGGTTTAAAAACCATACCAAATAATTCTCATTAATTTTTTTGTTATATTAAAAGAAATAAACTAGTTTATATTTAAATTGATTTATTCTTAAAAAAATGTTTCTATCAATACGAGAAAGTAATTATAACAATACTGGATTCGATTCTTTTTATATATATTTGTTATTTTCATAGTATTTTATATATTTATTAGGCTTGCAAATATTTAATGAATTAAAAAATTAATTATGATGCATATAAATTGTTTTAGATACTCCGGGTTATTAAAACAAAAAAAAATAACAATAATACAGGGAATGAACTCCGCTTATCATTTAAGCCAACAGCTGAAACATTGCATATAAGTTTTGAAATAATCAGCTAAATATCTTCCTATTCAACAGAAACAGACAATGAAAAGGCCAAGGCAAAAAGATCCTAAAAAGTGCTTGAAAGATTATTTTTTTGCTGGTTTTGAGTGGTTGAAACGCCAGGGGCGTTCAGCTCAAGGTTTGTATTCTATAAGATAGATTTTTTGGTAGCCACTTCCATAGCTCTCGGTGGATGTGACCATGCTTTAGCGTCCACGGAGTGCATCCTCCATTGCCAATACCTTGGCAACAAAGCAACGTTAGTTAGTGTCTATTCTTCCTAGATGATCTGCCGTCTTGATTTTCCCATGAAGAATGTGATTGATTAAATTAATAATACCCTTGTATCAAATGCAAATACAAAGGAGGGAATCGAATAGAGCCATAAAATTCAAGTACCTTTTTTCTTTTGTTTGACTATAGCAAATATTAATGTATACAGCTTATTTTTTGCTAGTTTGGTTATTACAATGAGATTAGAAAGAAATAATTGGAGTATTAAAAGCCAAAAAAGGAAAATAACCTTGAGATTCAAGCTGTAATTATGCATATTTTATCAAGAGTTTATCACGAGCCATTTTTACAGAGTTTTGAAGACAAAAACACAAAACAAAGAGTGGAAGGTCAACATTGAAAGCTTATTATAGTAACATTCTTCTTCAAGCACTAAAGCAGTTGATAAGCATGGAAAGTGAAGCCTCAGAATATGTCAATGCAGGTGACTTGACTCGCATGCCTCTGATTAAAGCAGGCAATGGCTTTACCAAGTGTAGGCTTCCTTCCTCTTCAGGAACCACTTTACTTGACTCAACATTTGTAGGGCTCGAGCCGCTTGACCAAACAGTCTGACCCTTTTCACGTAGCTTGGCAACCTCGCTAGTCCAAATATCCACAAGTCCCGACATTGCTAAATATCTAGAAAAACTGCAGATGGAAAAGAGAAAAAAAAGCAAGAAGAAGATCTTAATAAAAAGTGCTCTTTAGATATTTGAAGCTTGTAGTGTGTGGTTGCTATTTGAGACGTTGAAGGGTTCTACATGGGTTCTTATAAAACAAGGTTAGAAAGCGGTTTTGTGGGTTAACTAAGGCCGCACACATTCTTGAGGGGAGTTTTGTGCTTGTCTCTTGTGCCATATAGCCGACGGTTTTGTTTCCAATGGTAAATCTCAATACCCTAACAAGCTACTGGTAAATCTTTCCTTATAGAGCTAGTGGTTTTACTCATGACAACGGCTCGAAGTCAATCCACATAAATTATTGGGCATTGGCTATATATATAGGAGATTACTAGATTTTGGAACCCTGCACCTCTTTCAAAGTTTCCCTTTATGTGACCTAGAAGTCACTGAACTTCTAAGAAAAAAAAATGTTTTGGATGACATGGGTTGACGTGTGGTAGCTGGGAACTGCAAGGAGTCGAAGATATTGCCCAATTGTAACCTGCCTACAATTTACAGAAGATCCTTTTTCATATATATTTCTTCGGAGTGAGGTAGAACAATGTCTAGAAATGGTTTTGGAAGTTTTAAAATTGAAAACAAAGACCAAAAAAAAAAAAATCTATTATGGATTATCAGATGGAACATTTGGTTCGTTGGGCGTCCTGTTGCTCCGATTTTAGCAGAGAGAAACAATTCTACACTTTTTGACGCAAGAAACAAGCTGCCATCCAGCCTCTGGATGCTAACAAGGTTGCAGAGACTGGACTGGAGCTCAAGAAACAGCCGCACAAGCTAGGGGCAATTACAACTTCGAAATAAATCTAACTCTACATTATGCAATTGTGATGTTGGTTACTTGATTTCCAGAGTACTTTTGAAGGAAATTGCAATTTGATATATGCGAGTAACCGATCTGACTGCGAAGAAACGTGCCAGAGGGTTGCTGAAAACCAAAATCTTTTGATGCAGATGAGACAGCATTTGCTTCTTTGGCCATGAACACAACTGGCTGTGAATTGATTAGTTGAAACCACCTCGGCAGCAATTGTGTGAAGGAACCGCATCTCCAAAATTGAGTCCCGGTGGAAACTATAGTGCTGGTGAAAAGTAGACCAGTTGGAATTTCACAGGCCACATTACAGTTACATGTAAAGTGTTTGTAGGTTGTGATGTCGTAGCTTTAAACCCTTGTTTTATTTTAGGTTTCTTTAATCTCTGCGTGAAACCCATCTTTATTTTAGAAAACACTGAAAATGTGTTTCCTATTCAACAGAAACAGACAATGAAAAGGCCAAGGCAAAAGGATGAAAAGGCCAAGGCAAAAGGATCCTTAAAAGTGCTTAAAGATGTTTTTGCTGGTTTTGAGTGGTTGAAATTTCGCCAAGGGTGCTTAGCTCAAGGTTTGTATTCTATAAGTTGAGATTTTTTGGCAGCCAACTCCTTAGCTCTCGTGGTTTTGTCCATATTTTAGTGCCCACGGAATGCCTCCATAGCCAATACCACGGCAACCAAGCAACATTAGTTAGTGTTTATTCTTCCTAGATGCTGTACTTAGTTTCCCATGAAGAATGTGATTAATTATACCCTTGTATCAAATACAAATTCAAGTACCCTTTTTTTCTTTTGTTTGATTATAGCAAATATTAATGTATACAGCTACTTTTTTGCTAGTTTGGTTATTACAATGATATTAGGAAAAAAATAACTGGAATATCCATAGCCAAAAAGGGAAAGGAAATTCATTGATTCAAGCAGTCGATAAGCATGGAAAGTGAAGCCTCAGAATATGTCAATGCAGGCGAATTGACTCGCATGCCTCTGATTAAAGCAGGCAATGGCTGAACCAAGCGTAAGCTTCCTTCCTCTCCTGGAACCACCTTACTTGACTCAACATTTGTAGGGCTCGAGCCGCTTGACCAAACAGCCTGACCCTTCTCACGTAGCTTGGCAAGCTCGCTAGTCCAAATATCCACAAGCCCCGACATTGCTAAATATCTAGAAAAACTGCAGATGGAAAAGAGAACAAACGCAAGAAGTAGATATTTGAAGCTTGTAGTGTGTGGTTGCTATTTGAGACGTTGAAGGGTTCTACATGGGTTCTTATAAAGTGGGTTCTACATGGGTTCTTAATATTGTGCTTTCTCCTGTGCCACATAGCCAACAATTTTGTCTCCAACGGCAAAAATACCCAACTCTTTATAGCGCTAGTGGTTTTCCAATCCATCCATATCATAAATAAATTATTAGGCATTATATATATATATATATATATAAGTTTAATTTAGCTATTTATTATTTCTGTGTCAAAAGCATTTTTAAAAAAAATTAATTTTTTTTACTTTAAATTAATATTTTTTTTAGTATTTTCAAATATTTTAATGTGTTAGTTTAAACTATAATTTTTAAATAATAAAAAAAATTATTGACATGTATTTTAAAATAAAAAATTATTAAAAAAATAAATACAATTACACTACTGAACGTTAATGTGGTCTCATGTTCCCTTTATGTGACATAGCTGTTTATGTGTGGTCTCATGTTCCCTTTATGTGACATATTTAAAATACGATTTCTGATAACTGCAAGAGTAAAGGATGCCCTCTTGTAGGCAGCCTACAAGATACAGATGATGTCTAGAAATGGTTCTGGACATTGAAAACAAATAAAAAATCTATAATGAATGATAAGATGAAACATCTGGTTCGACGAGCGTCCTGTTGCTCCGATTTTAGCAAAGTGGACTGGAGCTCATTGTTAGTCAGGATAGAAAAAGATGGACGTTGATGCCATAAACCAAGAAAAACATTCGAGTCAGTAAGGAGATTATGAATATTTGAATATTTGAGCAACGAAGATTATGAAGATAGGAGACCTATCCAACAACACTCCAAACATACACGACTAAGTAGAAAAATGTTAGGGTTCGGGCAGCATCACTGAAAGCAAATGCTTTCCTCATGGAACCCGCTGAATTAGGTGAAACATTCACAGCCAGGTCATGGAAAACACTTGCAAAGAAGAAACAGCCGCGCTAGCTAGGGGCAATTACAAACTTCGATATATATATACATAGAAACCTAGCTTTACACTATGAAATGGTGATGCTGGTTACTTGATTTCCAGAGTACTTTTGAAGGAAATTGCGATTTGATACTTGCAAGTAACTGATCTGACTGCGAAGCAACATGCCAGAGGGTTGCTCAAAACCATAATCTTGTGATGCAGATGAGACAGCATTTGCTTCTTTGGCCATGAACACAACAGGCTGTGAATTGATTAGTTGAAACCACCTCGGCAGCAGTTGTGCGTTCCAAAATTTGAGTCCCGCTGGAAACTCCAATGCTGGTGAAAAGTAGACCAGTTGGAATCTCACAAGCCACATCACAGTTAAGATGAGACATATCTTGTTTAGGCCTGGCTTGGAGCATGCCATGTACCTCAAAAGCGGCTGATTCTTCAAAGGGCAGGCATATGGCATCTAGATCACACATATGGATAGCAACTTTTAAAGTGCCCATGGCCAATTTATCAGAATCTCTAACCAAATTGGCAACGACAGCTCCTGCAAAGGGAATCATTGATCCTGAAGCCAAAAGATTGGGCCTTGTGAGACAATAATTCCAGCCGATTGATTCCCAGGCAGGGAAAAGTTTCAGGATATGAGCCTGCCCATTCAGTGTTATGAACAAATGAACCACCATATAAATTCCTGATCACATCACATTAGAATTTTGACTGCTTTTAGACAGAGACTTCAGAAGTTCAAATCCATGGTGTCCAACCCTCATACATGTTGCAAAGATTATCTACACTCATTGCTTGCTTCAGCAGATGATCCACTTGCTCTTCAATACTAACTTCTCTGAGACACGAGAAATGGTTCCTTTAGGAGAGGAAAAGGAGGGAAAGAATATGAACCTTCTAATATAAATCCACTGCAGAGTACAGATTTTAAAAGAAACCAAGTACCTGTTGTTCACAATATCTTGACCATCTATTTTCATCTCAATCCTCCTTAGCACTGACATAGCATAAGCATTTTTACCTGCAAAATTGTTGCAAGATGATTGATCAAGAGATAACTAGTTGTTTCTTCATTCAATTTGAGAAGGAACTAAAAGGCAAGGCCAATTTAGCAAGCCAAAAATTATGTTATATAATATATGACATCTGTAATGCGCAATTAGCCATGAAATGAGCAATCCATGTCACTTGTTTTTACCATACGATTCGCTAAGAAGTATATTTTGGACCACATCAGTGTTTCTACATCTCTGAAATATCTTTTTCCCCAAAGTTTTTTGTTACAATGATAGATATTGCTTAAATATATAATAAATACTCAAATCTAAACTACAGGCTATATTTTTACGGGGATTATTCATGTAATTCAACTTGCTAGTATTATGAGATCTAATTTCATATTCTTATGGCAAAATAGTGACCAAAAGTTAGTGTTCAAATATGCATAATTATTGTGATTAAATATGCATAATTATTGTGATTACTCAATGGGTGATGAAAATTAACAGTATCAACTCTCAACTTAAGATCTTTCGAAAGGGTTTGATTTTTAAAGATCCCATCCAAACAGGTTCCATACCTCAAAAGATCTCATCCAAAAAATACCCACGCACGTTCATGGGCACCCAACATAGATATATGCTAGCACTTAGAGCTTATATAGAATTTGAAAGGCAGTAACACATAGACTTGTATTAGACATTACCCTTGGCCACTCGACTGCCGGTCTGCAGATTAGGATGAGGAGATTCTTGATTTTCATCTTCAATTTTAACTTTGTTTAATGAGGATACCTCATCATTTTTTCCCTCAAATTTCTCCTTTGAGCTCTCATCATCCAAAGGTTGTGAAGGCTCGACAGGGACATTTACAGCTTCATCACTTGGTGGTGCCACAGATTGCAGATGTTCAGTTAGCTCACCAATTCCTGTGACAGAATCATTGTTACCATTAAATCCTGATTGACCAGGGTCTGAGATTTTCTGGCAAACAGTTAGAGAAGATGGTGCAGAATTTAGATGATAAGTCGCGACCCTGGTACCAGATCCACAAGGATATTGTCTTATTAGTTCTTCTGGATCATGTAAGCTGTCTGGAAAACTTGCTTCGGCTGAGGTAATGCCAGATTCTGAGCTGCTGCTGTATATGCTATCTGGTGGGGATATCCATCCTTTATCTTGCAAGGAAAGTCCGCTATCATTAATGAGATCTTTAGCACTCCCATTGTCTGATATAGAGAAGCTCTCTCTTCCCTTGTCATCGAATGCATTACCACCATTGTCAAGATCTGTCCCAGACAAACTAATTCCCTGTGACTTGACATCCTGGCTTTCTGCTAACCCTTCAAGAGCCTGTCAGAAAAGTAAATAACACGAGGATGCTATGCTCAGCAATCTTAGTGTTATCAAATTGCAACATTAAAAGGCATTAATCTCGGGCACAAGACTTTACTTTATGAAGATTGCCAGCATGGAGACTAGCAGTTTGTGCAAGCCTTGTCAGCATCGAGTGCAGTCCCCTCGCAGATGATGCAAGTGAAGGTACCAAGGGGTGAAATGTCTGGATAGCCTCTTTAATTCTCAAGCAGTAAGACTGGTAAATGGCTTGACCATGAATAGGAGATACTTCCATCTTGGTCTCTCTTCCCCTAGTCATAGCATCTGTCATAGCAGTCACATCATTTGACAATAAAGATTCAAGTGGAAGAAGAATTGCATTTGCCTGCCCAAAATCAGAACAAAATAAAAAATAAAAAAATCAGCAGATACATTTATGACTCCATAGCACACCTATATAAAAAACAAGACAACAGTTCAATTTAATTTAGTTATAAAAGTAAGACACCAATAATACAGAGATTGATTTTAGCTCAAAAGCATGCGCTCAAGAAATCATAGAATATGAATTGAGAAGAACACCTTAGATAGATCTTCCAAGAGAGAACAGTGGAACGCAACAGCCTCCTTTCCCAGAGTATGAACATCATGCAGATCTTCAGTTATGGCCAGAACCTAGAGAGAATCATATAACATTACTAACAGCATATAAATTTTAGCCATAAGCACCAGCAATTCCTAAGTCACAAATGTCCATGAGAATAGTAGCTGCAAAAGTAAAAGAATAAGACACAAATCTGATGAAAGGGCATACATAGAAACTGATAATCAGAGCTTTAGTGGGTAACAATCAACAAAAGATGCCATCCTAAGTTTGTGAGCAACAATTACACAAAACAATATATGATCATGGTCTTGTGGATGGAATTTCATTGTATTTGACATGCAATTGTAACTAGATTCATAGACAAATTACTATGAATCTCATAACTGATGCCAGAAAACAGGATTGAGTGAAGATCACCTCAACTAGTTTGGGGATTAAGATTTAGACGAACTAACTTGACCTTAGTTAGAAAGGCTACAAGGGGAAAATCTGTTGTGCTTCAATTTCCATCTTTATATCTTTGATTTAAGCATTCACTATTGCATGATCCTACTACAATGACCAAAGCTCAAATCTTTATAACCTTGTGTATGTGCATGTGTACGAGAACACACTTGAACACTCGATAATTAGCTTGGCAATCTACAATCTACAGCACCTGGGCAAATGGCATTGTAGTTAAGATAAAACGTAATTGATCCTAAGGGCAAGGATCCACTCATTAGCCCAAAGAGAATAGCTAGAGCATGCCAGTATTTGGACAGTCGTCTGAAACTATGTGATTTATTTTGATGTTCTCATAACTACTCAACACTACCATCCAGTTAAAAATATATCTAAAAAAACAGATAGCAGTCACAGTACCAAAACATTATTGGGTGTGTGACTTGCTATCTAACACTAAACCCCGCCTTATCCCCAGCATGTCATATTAAGTGAATGTGTTCCAGTAAAAAATAATGTTTCACTTAGCTGCAGGTTTTGTATCAGGTATACATCAGATACTGTTCTTGCAATTCAAAATCAAGTACCATAAATGTGGATAACTACAATCTATTTCCCCATACAGTACCAACTGCAAAAGTATTCCAGCCTTACCTTGACCCACTGACAAATGCATGCGCACACAGTCACAAAGCAGAAAACAAAAAATGATGCTAAATGTCAAAAACCTACTGTGTCCCACTAACAGGACGCTATGTTGAGTCCCATTGGTTACAATGTGAATGAAGTCCTGTTTAGAAGTGATCAAAAAGGGGCCTAGGTCATTTGTAATGGGCTGATCATGGTTGGCCAGTGTACACACACCGGATAGAGAGAAAAAAGATTGTTGTCAACTATTGCAATACCTCTTCAAGCATGCTTCCAGATTCAGAAGTCAAGGCTGTATGGCCCTTTGATATGCGACTAAAGGCAGATAGTGCCACACTGACTTCATATGCACAGTCCCTCATTGCAAGAACAATGTTTTGTAAATCATCTGCAGAAGACAAAGATCAGGATATCAAGTCACAAACATTGTGTAGAAAGTGCAAAGACATAAGAGAAATTAAAATTCCTTTGCAGATAATGGATTATAGGGGAGATTTAACAGGGAAACAGCAGGGTGGATTGGCACTCTATTCCATTGCGGGTCATATGGAAGTCATGTTGAGGGAGGAATGACCAGATTTAATAGGCTACTAAACCTCTGTTGCATAAGCTAAGTTACTGTTCTTGAACTTGTTATCTCAGTGCCTTTTAGTGTTCTCATTTCCTATTTCCATTCTAAAGTTATTGAAAGTAGTGGTGTTCACCATTAAGTTCACTGTTTCTTTTGGTATCTGTCTTGGGATTCTCTGCCATACCTTGCCTGTACTAGGGTTCCGTTCTTAACTTTACTTAAATATGCATTACTATGACGCTTACATGTGCAGAGATGGGAAAGGAAAGGAGTTTGTTCTGAAAAATAGAGGATTGTAACCTGAAGCTGACTTTGCTTTAAGAGATGCATTGCAGAGTTCATTAGCAACTGCATACAAGCCATTTGAAGCAGCTTCCATACTGCTTTGTGCAAGCTTCCACTCTTGTTCGGTGCCTACATTCATCAACAGATAATAAGTTCGCTCCATATCGAAGTGGAATTTCTATTCATAGGCTAGCCATTTTGTGAAACAGAAACTCACGAGTAAAAGAATGATAGGAAACCTCCAACTTTATTAGTGCATTCAAGTAAGCTTGCTGCCATGCCCTGCCATCAGCAACACTTCTTGCTGGATAAACCTCTCCTGGTATCTGAAAAATCCCATCTCTTGATGCTTCAAACTCCAATATAGACATGCAAATTTTAAGAATATTTGATGCCTTTTCTCTAGCTTCCCACAGCAATTGCTGTCGCCTCATTAGATGGTCATGGAATTCAGGAGGAATTCCTGAAGTTTTGGTTGAAGTATTTCCAGTTGTACTGGAATTTGGTCCACCACAAGCCCATCCCATTGCTCTTTCAAGCTGCCTTTCTGCCACAGCAGAATTTCGTTCACAAGCTTGCAGGCAGTCCATTGACCTAGCCATTTTTGTTATGGCTGATTGCAACCCTTCCAGCAGATTAGGTCTGCTGAGGTTTAGGATGATGGGATATAAGTTATCTTCATTGGAAAGGAACTTTTGAAATGTGACTCTGCTCTTATGTGAAGGGGTCAACCCATCATACATCCATTCCAACTGGACAATTTCTAGGCTAGTCTTGTGAAGAGCCTCTTTGAGTT